GGTCAAATATACTGTTGTTAAGAAACGGTAATGATTCTACACTTTTTTCTTCAAAAGACTTATTTTTCAAAAACAGCAAATTGACGTGTAAGTTTTAATGTTTTTGCAACGAATTGTTCCAACGCTTTTAGTTATTCGGATGTTAAACTTATAAATTAAATTCTTGAAATATATTTCAGTAGATAGAGGATACTCTGAAGCGTATACACAGTAAATGAAGCAAAACTGGAAAATCTAAAAACTTCTGATCGGAAAAGTAAGAGATCCTCTTAAGGACAATTATTTTACAAATGTGACAAAAATCATGTTCATGAATATAAATAGATTCGTACAGAAAATAACTTTAAATTACTTCATGCAAAATTCTATATGTAGCAAGATTATAAGCTGGACACATGACTCAATTGAGCTCAATTTTTTTACTATTCAACGGGTAATAAATACGAAACTTTTTTTTCTATACATGAGTGAACGTCATATGAAATACATGAAAAATCAGTTAATGTTCAAAAGTCGATATTATTGCAATTGAATGACGACACGTCCATTGTTATACATTTGCAGAACAGCAAAAAGAATTATTGCTTGAATCAGGACTAGCGCCCGGCATGATCAACCCTTCTTTTGGTCACGGTCACGTCACGGTGAGCCCAGCCCATGACTGTGACCATGAGTCGCAGCCCTTCTTTCTATCTTCTAAACATTAAAAAAATTTCTAGAAAGAGATATTACAAAGTTTTCGTTGTTTATTAAAAGTAATGACTGGGGCGGGAGGTAGTCTGGCGAAGATCCCCCAATCTCTCCCCAGTGTTGAATTCCTGAATGTTCTCGACTATTTTAGTACCCGTGACTGTCCGTGACCAAGCATCAGTCACGATCATGCCAGGCACTAATCAGGACTCTGAATGAGATCGGAAGAGACGAAAACGTTATATCATACGATAAGCTGATTCATCTTATCGTATGGAGGTCATGGGATTTTGTACTGGATAGAATCGTAAACATAGTCAAAATGATTCCAGCATACCATTCAAATAAAATCATTTTTTGTTTCATATCTTTAGTCACAGTTTATTTTGTTAACAATAAGAGAAAAAATGGTTTCATCAAGTTTTTCATACAATTCCAGTTTTTTAAGAATAGGAGACGAAATAGATACAGATAATATCAAACACTATCAGCAGAAAGATAAGAAACGATCAAATTATTATTGATGAATAAAAATATACAAAAAAGTATAAACAACATCAACACTTCAGTTTCTCCATGGACCAAATAAATATATATTAGAAACATGCGTCGGGATCTAAATATGTTATTCTTTCATTCGAAATCAGTCCCATACCATTGTACTACCGTTTCATTGCAACAAATGTTGCAGGTATACAGAGCACTTTTCGTACTTGTGTTACTATTGTTAGATATAAATTTTGGCTATCCTTCCAAAAATCAGGGAAATTTCGAAATAATTTTCTTTTATAAATGTACATAATAAGATACTATGTCAATTCGTATAGTTTTGGTGGCTTTTAATGATAATCGATGCTTCCAAAACAATTATCTTCCTTGTTATATAAATTGCAATCATATTCACTTCAATCTTCGTATCGTTTCAGGATTGATTGTTTTGATTTTCTGATTTTTTCGCAATTGGTTCAATTGTATCTGATTTATGAGATTTATTGTCTCTTCTCGAAATTATTAACATATCAGATGTCTTTGTTCTCGGCTCGACAATAACTTTTTAGCTAATAATATGCGACATAAAGCACAGTCGCTGCATACGTTGCAAATCTAATTCTCACAACAGGTTGAGAAGTTCAAGTGTTTGTTCTCGAAGAATTTTCAGATCTAAAGAACATAAAACAAAAGATTGAAAAAGACAAAGCTTTTTTTGCAAATATAAGAGAGTTAAAAGAATGCTTCTTATTTGCCTTAATTCTCAACAGTTATCTCTATTTCATTATCACTGATTCACTCTCCATTATGATCAATATTGTCAATTAAAGTTTTATGAGTAATTAAATTTTCTAATGACGATCATACTTTTCGAAAACAAAAGGTGCGTATGAGTGTCATGTAAAGTGAAGGACTATTACCGATTTGTATTACTTTATGTGTTTGTATAGATAGTTTCAAAAGATGAAAAAGCCGTATGATCATGTTTTCATCAATGGCAATGATCTTTGATTATCATATTCGATTTAATAATCGGTGTTTTGTTGCTTTATATGATCGTAAAATACTTTTCAAGAAATCCATCATCGAGAACCACCTAACTATGATTGATGATTAGGATGAGACACTACCTGTACTTCTTATATTCTTATGCACTTCAGCCTAAACAAACGAATGAATACAAAATAAATGAGTGTTAGAATACGTCACGATTGGAATAATTGTTGGTTTTTCTTATGAAATACAATTCATTTTTATCTCATGAATTCAACAAAAAATAATGATCAGAATGATAGAGAAATTCATTTACTTTTTTGACATACGTATTTAACTAGCTTTTTTGTATTCAATAATTACTTCTATAAGTACTTGTGCTGATGAGTCTAAATCAACTTATTGTAATTTTCTCATATCATTTGAAGTTGCTTGGCTAACAGATTTTCTCATTTTATTTTTTATTTTTATGTCGTCTTGGTAAGGATGACTCATTGCCATTTTCACTTGATGATGTTGAAAGATCACTCTCTTCATTTTTATTGTTGTCCTGAAACATCATATAATGAGAGCGTACTTTGTGCTCAATAACTATCTTTCTTCCATTTTGATTGAAAAAAAAACGATCTTTTTCAGTGAATTGTTTAAACGATGAGCATGAAAATATAATTGTTGATAATGTTTTTACGCCTCAATCAAATTTAGACCTCTATGAGACACACAATGTATTGAAATTGATTCATGTAAACAATAAATTTTTAATGCTTTTCGAATTCTCTAAATTTAAAAAAGAAACCGAAATGGAGAAACAAGAAAACTTTTTAAAGTACAGTAAATAACAACGAAAGGCAATCGTAAAAAAATATCTTTGACATGTTGTACTACTTTAATGAGCATACTTATTTGAGTATATGTTTACTATTCTATACTCCTTATCTTGAGCATACTCTTATTCTAATTTTAAATAGTAAATTCCAGTGTATTTTACTTTAGAGCTTAGAATGGAACTTTTTTGTATTGTTCATCAAGAAGATTGACCGTGTTCGGATCAAATTATCAGTCTCAACGCTAGACCAACAAAATTAAAATATCACATGTCAAAAGTGAGCCTGGACCGAGATCTTCGAGTTTTACGATGTCCCGTTTTAGTATGTAAATAAAATAATAGAAAAACTAAACATCAAATGTTTTACGTAATCATTCGGTTTTTGATGTAGTAACTTTTTTAGGATCTCTTGTCGAGATTTATCAATGACACTCGGATCATAATACATTCACCATTTTCTATAAATTTGCTAAAACCAAAATTACAGAAATGTCGATCCTTCCATATAAAAATCCTTAGATTATGAGCACTTTCGACTTTTTTTTTATATGAAAACAATAGATATACTACAAATGGAGATGTAGACTCTTCAATCAAATGAAAACAACAAAGGTTTTTGTACTAAGCTTAGGTTAAGAACTTTCGCACTTCATATTTAGTAGTTCAACAAAAAACCATCAAATTCAGAGGAAAGATTCTGAGATATGTCAACATTGATTTACATACCAAAACGGAACATCGTAAAACTTAAAGACCTCGGTTCAAGCTCACTTTGAACATGTGATATTTTAATTTTGTTAGTCTAGCGTTGAGACTGATAATTTGACCCAAACACGGTCAATCTTCTTGATGAACAATTCAAAAAATTCCATTGTGAGTAATTATAAGTTATCTCACTGATAATGAATGATCACTCAATAGGTTAACTTCGTCATATTTTCGATAACATAAATCTTCTGTTGTATAATTCAAGCTTTCATGAACAAATGAACATAATAAATCAAAATAAGAGAACTATTTATGTGAATTGCTTCATTTGTTGGACGGATACGAATAAGTTCTTTTGAAAATCATTCTTTTAGTATTTATTTTTATTTGGATCGATATTTATCTACTAGAGAACAGACATGATTTTATTTTGTATCACTGTTTCGAACGATATTTTTAACATGAAAATCATCATATTTTATCCGTATTAAAAAGAAAATTCAATTTTATACACAACAGTCAAAAAATGTCAGCAAACCAGTTCTTGAAGAATGTTTCTCAAAGCAGCATATACATAGTTACAATGAAAGGATATCATACCTTTGAAAATCAATTTAACCATGAAGTCTTAAAGTTTTCACACTTCTTTATTACATACGGTGTTTGCTCGCTTCATATTTTTTGAAATACTATCAAAAGTTGTTTGTATTGTTAGTATAAAGTCTGTAAGTAAATTTGTAATACATGTATGTACATTCAAAGGAGTATTAGCAATGTTTAACCTATAGCAATAGCTTTGATCATCTTTTCATCAGCTAACAAAATCAGTAATAAAGTGAAAGTTTATCTTATCTGTCGTTTTGATTGAATAACTGAAACCATTCCAGTTCCAACATTTAGATTTTAATCCGAAAGCATCATTACTTACTAGTTTAGAGTTTGCTCTATCATGTTGCAAAAGGGACTTTATTTTATTAAGCTTAAATTTATCTTTGTTGAAGACTGAAGATGAGAGTGCACCCATGAGACTAGACGAATCATCATCGATTGATTAGACTAGAGGGTGCAAAAAAAGTCGACTTCATTTAATATTATTTCATTATAGTTTCTGATGGCCATCTATCGGAGTGCGACTATTTATTCAAATCTGACTTGCTGTAATAATTACCCAATGTCAAATAAATAATAGATAGCCAATCAATTACCTTTTCTAACTGCAAGAGAGACAAAGAACAAATATTTTTCTATAAAAGTTCAAATATCAATCTAAGTTGATACGGAACAATCTTTGTAAATGGCAACATCAACCGATTACAATCAAGAAATATCTAAAATTAATAGTGAAAATAATCAAAATACAATCGATGAAGATGAAGAAGCAAAACATTTTCAAAAAGTAATTGGTGCATTTCTATACTACAAGTAAAATTTTATTAATTGCTTTTCGTAAAATGCAATTCTTCATTCATTTAGAACATTGGCTCGAAATCGTATCCGTCGTGCATTCTATTCATATAGTCGATTACCCGAAGCACATAAGCGAATTGTACCTAAATATGAAACTTTTCTTAGTCAATTACTTAAATGTATCGATCAAAAGTAAATAATTACAATTCTTATATTTATAAAGTATTTAAATGGTCTTTCTTCTATTTTTCTATTTAGTGATTTAATTATTCGACAAATACTCAGTGGCTGCGAACATTTATTCAATAATTATTCAATGCCTTCAAGTTATAATAATACAAATCATATGGTAAGTTGAACAGATTTCAAAAGAAAAAATCTGTTTATCCTTCATCTATCTGTACGCTTAGTCTTCTTCCAGTCAATTGAACAAGATTCATTGCCGCCTCCATCTGGTGTGACAACAATGGATATGGATAAAGTGAAAACAACAATAAAACAATTTGTTCGCGATTGGAGTAAAGATGGTGAACAGGAACGACTGGTTTGCTATACACCAATTATTGATGAAGTTAAACGACGTTTTCCAATTGTTCCTACGATGAATGAAGATGGTTCAATGTAAGTTCTAGATGAAAATGAGACTAGTAAATGTATTTCATGAATTATTTTGTATAGAAATAATCTTTCGTCTATTCAAATTCTTGTTCCTGGTGCTGGTCTTGGCCGTCTTAGCTGGGAATTTGCTCGACTTGGCTATGCATGTCAAGGCAATGAAGTTAGTTTATATATGCTAATTGCATCACATTTTGTACTGAACAAGTAAAAAAAACTAGCTCTTCTTTTTTTTTTTCTTAATTTTATACACATTTACATTGATATCCTTGAATAGATGTTCACAAATTAATACTCATACAATCCATCCATGGATACTAAATTTTTGTAATAATATGTCTAATGAAGATCAATTACGTGCTGTTCAATTTCCTGATGTTAACACAGCTACTTTACCATCTAATTCTCGATTTAGTATGTCAGCAGGTGACTTTCTTCAAGTATATAATGAATCAAGTTTGTTGATTTTCATATAAATATATCAAAACATTTAACATGTATTTTCGTTTAAGATGATTGGGATTGTGTTACAACATGTTTTTTTATTGATACAGCTCATAATATTATTGAATATGTTGAACGATTGTGGAAGATTCTTAAACCAGGTGGTGTATGGATTAATTTTGGTTTGTATCGATCTTTGTTTAGGATATTCTGAGAAAGATTTTTCTTTTTACCTTTAAGGACCATTACTTTATCATTTCGAAGATATTCCAAATGAAATGTCATTTGAATTAAGTTATACCGATTTACGAACAGTTATTCTTAGTTATGGTTTTCAAATAGAGGTATTATTTTGTGTCCCTAGAATTTTTTTTTGCACGAAACGTTTATTTTGTTTGTTTTAGGTAGAAACATTACCTATTCGAGCAGGCTACATTAAAAATGACCGGTCCATGCTTCATTATGAATATGATTGTGTTTTCTTTGTTGCAGTGAAACCTTAAGACAGAAATGAAATGTAATCTTCTGTATGATCGTATAAAAATTTACAACTGAATAAACAAGAAAAAAATTACTATCTAAAAAATGTATAAGATTTTTTTTTTCTAGAAACAAACGTTACTGATTTGTAACTAATTATGTCAAAATTGAAAATGTCAAAAAAAAAAAACATTTTTATTTTATTCAATAAAAAGAGTATGAGTGAAAAATTGACGAAGTGAAAAATCTCTTCTATTTACAATGGAAAACATCACATAAACTTATCGTGTTATCGAATCGAATATAAATAAGCATCTTGTTCACATCATTTAGTTTCATTTCAATAATACGCGAATCTTTCTTTTACAATCTTTGATCTTGATCACTTAAAAATGGATTCGTTTTAATGAACAGAAAATAATGATAAAGTTATTGCAGGCAGCATCAGTTAAATTGAAGTAAAATTATTGTTACTCATACCGAATGCTATAAATTGAGTGAACTCGTCAATTCATTGAATAGGACTAGAAGTAAGAATTATTGAATATAGCTTTCTCATAATCAATCATATTTGTTGACAAAAAAAAAAGAGTGTAGTTGGAAAGTAATTCATCTTATCTATTGACCACACATTATCACATGTTTATTCACGTTTACTGCGTAGGCAACAGAATCCATGATACCATTAAAGTATATTTATAATAACTAATAACAATGGTAAAAAGAAGTATAAATGATGTTTTGTATATGATTTAAAATATTTCATCGAAAAATGATCTATACGATAAAAATATCTAAATTTACACATCAGTTCTGTTTTGAAAATGAGCATACCATGAAGGATCTTATTTTTCTATTTGTTAATATATGACATACAAAGTAATATATCAACTAGAAACAGAATATGAGCAAAGTCTCATCATATAACTTGTAGTCCGATTATATTGTGTTGGAAATAATTCGAGACATAAGACTTCCAAAATTTGATATAGTAATGCCTTAGGGATGTTAACAACTAAATATTTATTGATATGTCTAGTCTTTTTATATATCATCCTTTCGATAATGGTTCGTTAGTAGTAGCATAAATAGTATAAGATTCTAGAATCGTCTCGATACCTTTTAAACTTTTTTCAAAAGAGAGCTTACAACAGCACTCATAGCATCCTGCATTTTTTGTATGAACGCTTGAACATGTCTAGTGGAGCTAAGTCTCTTCGGATTACATCATAAAATTTTTAATAGAAGTAGAGCCAGAATAGCACAAAATAAAAAAAAATATTTAAACAAAATGTTTGATAATTGAATTCGTTTTCGATTCATATTAAAAAATCTGATCTATCTGAAAGAAAGTTAGACACTTAGTTTAAGTCATGCGTAGCAATGATGCATGTCTTACCGTGTAATAAGTAGTAAATAATGTTTTTAATGAGTTTTGTCATGCTATGTTAATCGAATTAAAAAGCAAAGTATTTTTCCTTTCGACCTACAATTGTTTTCATGAGATGACTAGTTTCGTTTTGAATCTTTCACATCTCATTAAATAGAATATATTGGGAAAAGAAAAAAAAAACAGAAGAAAGGTTTCAAGTCCATGACTAATTAGTTAAGATTCATAACCGTTTTTACTAAATGTTCGTTGTATGCGTGAATATTTACTAAAAACTCAAATTATGAAATATTATCTTGAACTATTATTCAACGAAATGTCTGTTTATATTGAACATATCCTGTAAGTTTCAGTCACAACAAAATATTGACTTTTCAAGTAAACTGAATTTTTGTGATGTATCTGTGGCAAGTCGATACTTCATAATTTGTTTTTTTTTGTAAGTATTTGAAACAGCATAGAAACTCAGTAAAATTGTCATAACTCTTAATCAGTTGGTCACAAGCCTGAAAACTTTTAATTTTTTCTTATTTCAATATACTCTATCCAATGAAGTCTGAGAAAATTAAAACGAAACTACATACTTAGAATACTTTCCTCCTTAATCGATTATTGTGAACCATTATATTATTATGAAATATTGAACATATTCTATATCATGTTTAGATAGTTTTTTTGTGTATGAAAGATTTACAAGAACTAAATAATGATTTAGTAACGCCATCTTTAAGATGCATCACATTGGAGGAAAACAAGAAGCTTCACCAAGTCATCAAACACCGTGATGGCAGATATTCAATATTATTTAATTCATTTTTCATAAAAGAATTTTTCTTTTACACTTATAACCATGGTGGAACAACTCAAATTTATTGTTGAACAATTAAAACGACCACCCTTCAATCGAAATCATTATAATATTCTTACGTTTGATAATTTAACAAATAATCAGTTATTACAAGTTTTAACAGATGTTTTTGCTGTTGTGGATCCATATGATCCATCTGTAAGAATCTGTCTTTGTCGTAAGACGCTTGATATTTATTTTTCATTAAATATTTAGCATAAAATTGATATTCGAGATGAAGAACCGGAAAAAACAGCTGCTCGACATATGAATTCATTAAAAATGCTTGGTTATCGACCGAAACTTGATACAGATGTGTATGTTCTAATAATGAATATGATTTAATTTTTGTTAAATTTCTTTCTTTTTCTTTTTACAGTAATACATTTCGACAAAACTTAGTTAGTGGTGCTAAGAGTGTCGTTTTTCCTATATTACAATGGCTTCTTGAAAAATTGCCTGAACATAAAGAACGTGCTTATTTAGGGCGATATCTATCAAAAGTCGATGTACCAGCTGAATTTTTAAGTGATCCAGAAATTGCCGAACAATATGAACGAGTAAAAAAAATTTTAAAATTTGTTAATTTTTTAATTCATTAATATGTTTTAATTTTTAGTATGATGAATTAATGGAAGAATTTAAAGAAGTTCATCGAGCATATAAAGAATTAACATCAACACCACATACAATTGATGATCTTCGACGTGATATAAAACAACTTGAAGATGAAAAAGAAACATTAGAAAAACGTCTTGAAAGACAAAAAACACGTATACAAAAAGTACCAGCTGCACAAATAGAATTAGCAAAAAATTATCGTAAAGAAGTTGAAAAAGAAGAAAAATTAAATACAATGAAACAAGATTTAAATAATGTTATTAATCAACTTGAACAAAAAATACAACGTCTTGAAAGACAATTATCTGATCAACGTTCATCATCAACTGATCAATCACCTGATGGTAAATATTTCAAGTATTTTTTTAATGTTTTATTTTATTTTATTTTTTGTATTTAAAAGCAATTATGAAACGAATGGAAGAAGAAAATCAAGTTAATAGTTATTTAGTTACGGAAAAATTTCCAAAAGAACTTAATCAAATGAAAATGAAACTTCGATATTATGAAGAAGTAGCATCAAATAAAGCTTTAGGTCAAACTGAATTAGCTAATTATCGAGCCAAAGTAAAATTAAATTATTTTAAATGTTTTATTATTTAAAAAAAAATTTTTTTTTTTTTTTTAAAGATAAGTGAATTAAATTCAGTAATCAATAAATTTCATGAAAAACGTGTTTTAACTAAAGATCCTACAGCTGATAATTTAGCTGTTTTTCGTCAACAAGCACTTATTGTTGCTCGACGAAAAGAACAAGCTGCTGAACGTCTTACACAATTACGTGCAGAAAATGATGCACTTGAAAAACAATTTGGTCGAAATCTACCAATGGGACACGGTGGTTCATCTTCAATTGCTAAAAATAGTAGCTACGTACCAGAAGGAGAAGAAGTATCATTTTTTTTTTAATGTTTATTCTCTTTCTTTTTAAAGCAAACTTATCATAGTTAGACAGTAAATGAGAAATTTATTTTCTGTTTCGTATCAGATATATTTCAAATGATTTTTAATGATCTAAAATTATTTAAAAAGTGTATTTTCGAATCGAAATATTTATGCATTAAATTTATATGTATTAAACATATTTTCGCGAATACAGTTGGGTAATATTCTTTCGTGAAAAGAATCGCATTTGAACAAAAAAAAAAAAGAGAGAATAGTAAAAGATCTGAAAATCAACGAATCTATGTCGATTTTATTAATGAATAAAAAGTAAAATCATCTGCTATTTGCTGTTTAGTTTCAACGTTATGTAAATATGTTGCGAAGTAAAAGCAATACATATAAACGAAAACGTCAAGAAATTAATGACATGACAGCTGAATTACAATTACTTAAACGAACAGAAGAACTTCTTAAAGAAGAAGTTGAACAAATCAAAGGTCGAATGGTAATCAAATATTGAAATTCATTTTATGTTCATCTGCTTAAAAAAAAAAAAAATTTTAATTTAGAGTATGGAAGAACGTAAACAGGGTATTGAAGGTTATTTTTCTACTCAAGAACGTCTTGAAGAATTATCTACACTGAAAATGGAACAAGATGAATTAAAAGGAAAAACTTTAGATGAAATAACAGCTTTAATTAAGACATTAAATAGTCGTATATCATCAAAAAAAGCTGAACTTGATCCAATTCTTAAAGAAGTTAAACCATTAAGAGCTAAAGTTCAAGTAAAATCTTTTGTTTTTTTTTTGTTTTCTTTAACTTATTATTTTATTTTTGAGTTGATTTTTTTTTCTATTTTTCAAAGGAATTACGAAGTGAATATGAAGCAAAAAAAAGTAAATATGATTCACTTAATGCTAACTTTGAAAGTAGTCGATCAACACTTGAATCGGTTAGTTTGTATAAATTATATCTTTTCTTTTCTTTGAATTGTTTAAATATATTTTTTTTTTCTTTTCATATAGGAAGTTCGTGGATTTTATGAAGAACAATATGCACAAGAATCTCGTTTTCATACACTTAAAGCACAAATGTTAATTAATGCTGTACAATTAAAACGAGCAAATGATGAAACAAGTTCATATATGTCTTCAGAGAAAGCCACTAAATCATATAGGTTTATTAATGAGTTACATATGGAATTCATTCGTTATTGTTATGTTTTGTTTTTCTATTATAGAGAACAACTTAATAAACAAATAAGTAATACTGAAGCTCGTATTAAAGCCAATCGTGAAAAACAAAAAGTAACAAAAGATGTTCACATTGATGGAACAAGACAATTAAAATATTGGCGAGATCTTTTGCGTATGATGGAACTTAAAAGAAAATTGGCTACGGTAGTTATCCTTTCTTTAAAATTATCAATAGAAATATTCTTTTTTTTTGTTTTTTTAGGGTGAACTTTAATTCAACAATATTTGCTTTGTTATATGATTTCTTTTACAGTTTTTCCCATGTGTCTAAAAAATATGTAAACTATTTGACTTGTCTTTTGCTAAATATAAAGACAAAGAAAGAAAAGAAATAATCTGTATGGTCATTTTGTTCTTTCCATCGCCACTGGCATATGTAGTCGCTTGCAAGAATGGTAACACTCGCAAACATTTGTATGAAGAATAAATGATGATAGATAGAAAGAAAAAAAGCAGAAGAAAAATGGCACAATACACATACGAGCTAAGAAATATCCTCATCTCAGTAGCTATATACGTCTATAGAGCTAGTTTATCGTATGTTCGGTCGCGTGCAAAAACATTCCCTATTGCTGTTCGTCCGCCTCCATACACATTATGCCTGTCAGTAAAACAATGTTCTAACCTCTCTCGTCTCTGCCGTTACTGCTATAACTACACTTGAAGATATGATAACAATGTTATGGAAACGAAAGCAGTTTTCTCATATGTACATCTAGTATATAAAGAATATGTAACAGTATTATGTCTAATGAGATCATTGTCTTGATTCAATATTCTATCATAACAAAGTAGAAACAAGAATAAACGACATCAATAAATTATGGCTGATGATAATAATATAACACGTAAAAAATTACAACTACTATTTGACGATGAAACCCGTAAGTTATACTTATTTTATTTTTATTTTGTTATGAATAGCTATAGTAAACAATAAAAGTAATAATAAACATATGATTTATACAAATTTGTTCTTTTTTTTTTTTTGGTTTTCTTCATCGATATAAAACTCATCGACATAAAAACTTTTGAGTATTATCTCCACACCAATTTCGATCATCACAATTAAACATATTCGATATGCAATAAAGATTTTTACATCGATAAAGATTATCAATTCGTGCACATGTAGAAACAGCTGTAAAAAAAAAAAAAAAGAAAATTTTCCATAAGTTTATTTTCATATTAATAAATACAAAATAATTACTTACGAAAATTAATTGCAACATTAAGAATAAAACCATTTCCAACTTTTCCATCATCATTAGAAATAAATTCAATTATCACAGTATTTGTAGTTGGTGTCTAAAAATTATTAAAAAAATCATAAATTTCAATAATTAGAAACATAAAATAAAAATCAATTTACTCGAAGATAATATTTATGTGCTCCACATTGAAATTTCTCATCTAAATTTAATAATGATTTTTCATTTCTTTCTCCATCATAAATCAATAATTTATCACCGCCACATGCTATATCCATATTATCAACAACAATAATAATTCTTTGACTTACTGTTGACCCTTTAATTGTTAATATACATTTAAAATTTTGCTTATATTTACCGGATGTTAAACTAAAATATGTACCCGGTAATGTATCACCATCGAGTGTAATTGTTTTATCACATTGTTTGTCCATATCTGTAAATTTTAAATACTTATCTTATATATGATTCCATTGTTTTTTTCTTTTCTACTTACGTGGAGAACTATATATAGAACTAGTCGCACGCATCACTACAATTGATGGCATTAGGATAAGACACAAGGTCACTAGTGGTTTGATTATCAACATTCTGTTAACTGTTTATAACTTTCTTTGATCCTTGTACCTTTGATATGGTACTTAATAAAAAAAATATCCTTATTCACCTTGAGTATATGTATGTCGTACAGTAATTTTTATGTTATGGCTTGTTACGAGAGACCGAGAATACTTAATAATGCTGAAATAATTGTTTTTTTATGTTTCTGTTTTTTTTTTCTGTTAAAAAATACGAAAAAAGAAACTGATTCTTACAGAATTTATTTAATATATCACAAGAATAATATAATGATTGATACTGTGAATAGAAAAAAAAAATTTTTCTAAAACAAAAATATTTTATGACAAATACGGATGATTGTATGAAGACCTGAAAAATAGTTGATAAAATTAATAATCATGACAGATGGGGTTTTGTCTGCATACTAAATATGCATGCCAGAATATCGAATTGAGTGACAGAGCTGTTTACTTGAGTATTATAAGTATGTGCTGAATATTTTAATGAAGATCAAACGATCTTTGTCAATAGCTATGATATTAAATTTATTAATTTATTTATACTCTTTGAGTATAATTGTCATCTATTTTTAGAAGTAAAATTGACAGGTAACAAATGCCAATATAATTAGGATCACATCATCGTCTCGAACAATGTACATGGGTTGCTTTTGATACTAGTAGCAATCCAAATAGAGTATTTCTTAGTATTGATTTGCGTACTTGGTGCATAGTATCCATCTAAAATCAACTGAACTTCTGTCTCAGAATTGTTTTTTTTTGTAAGTGAATTATTGAAAAATGACTGTAATTTTATCTCGCATCAAATATAACGGTTGTGTCGTTCGATAAGAATAAGATCTATACTATTCTATATCCATTGATTTGTTGTGTTTATGTTTCTTTTAAATATTTTCAAATCTTCGTTAGTGTAGAAAGTATTTGTCAAATGATTATTAATGTTAAGGGAAACGAACAATTAAAAAATGAATTAGGATAAACACGAAATATTAGCGATTATTGTAAATTTTAATTCTTACAAGACAGTGAAAGTTTTTTTTTACGTAAATGTATACGATTATAAGTATGTTCAATTGATGAGTTTTCCGTAGTCTTTTTTCTATTCTTACGATACGAATTCTATTCGTAACATTGTACCTCTATAGGTCATTCTTCAGTTTTTATTGCATAACAATTAAATCAATAAGATGATTTCCCATGGTTTTTGCTTTAACTATTATCTTATACACAAATATAGAGAGATAATGTGACCTGAGTCACATAAAAAATAAGACTATGCCTAAAAAGTGAACTTTGCAAGATTAAATTGTTTGGTTGGCCTGACTGATTTTAAACGAGACTAAACAGATCGTGCACATTCTCATTTGTGTGTGCATTTTCTTTTTTTCTTTTACTCTTGATATTTTTTTAAGATAAAAGGTTTTTGAACAAATAAATGAAAGATATGTTAGATGTATTAAAGATGTTTCTTTCAATATAGACTACGAAATTGTAATAAGATGGACGTAGAAGTATTCTTGGTTCGTCAATATTATCATATAGTTTACTAATGCTACATGTCAACATGTTTACGACTGTAGGCAAACAATTGACATGGAAAGAGCCCTTGAAAATCAATTAACAAACTATTAACTATCTATGTTTTGAACTGCAGCAGATGATCTTCGATAACATGAATAGATTAGATTCGAAAATGTCTGTCTCGTATGTTTTTAGAATCCGCAAAATCAAGTTTACTGATCTAGAAAATGATTGACAGTTTTTTGAAAACAAACTTGGATTAATGGAGTTCAAATAAGATTTTGAAGTGTTAATTATTGTGTTAGAACTAAGAAAAATATCTTCTATTTCATTGCTCTTATCATATACAAAACACATTAATTATAGCTCCTAGTATAAAACCGAACAGAAAAGATTTATATGCAGCTGTTGAGAAAATCTATCATGAAGTTTTTTTTTTAGATAGCCTTGTCTTGTGCATAAACACTTCATAGATGTTATTTTTCTTTTTTGTTTACTATCTAATACAACAAAAATAGTACATAAAACAATTGCTGAACATAGATCTGAAAGAAAAATATTTAGTTTAAAATCAAAAACTATTTCAAAAAAGATAAAATTAATTAAAGTCTTTCTCTCAGAAAAAAGAGATCTAATATTTTGTTCGACATACCATGCATTACTCATTGGACTAAGTCTACAGATAAGGTTTCATTATTGAATGAAAGCAATCTAATATAAGTTGATTGATTAAAACAAAATTTTCGTCTTAGTTTTTTTTGCGTTTATACTCATGTAAACTACATTGAAGACGAGATGGCATTTGCTTTGGAAAAGGTCTTGTCAAACCTATTACACAAATGTTGCTTGGTGAAATTGATTTATTAATGAATTTTTTTTTAAAAGGAATTATTCAAATAAAAAAATATAAAAAACAATTGTAAAAGTTTTTTTTTGAAGATGTTCTGAAATAGTAAAAACATATTTGTTATTTTCTACGACTACATTTTTGAAAATTTACGGTTCACTTTTTTTTTTTTTATCTTTTAAAATTTATTCAAATGAAAATATTTTCTAATTGCAAATTTTTTATCGTTTACCATTATTGATTATAATATGTTACATGGCAATAAAGGTTAAATTCATACTTACTTGATTATAAAATCTGGATAATGAAGTCTTAATCAGTCTATTATTATAATACACAAATCATTAGTCTCAACGATTTATTTACGGAACGTATCATAATAAAAGCGTAGTAGGATTCTTGTTCGTTTGGAGAAAAAAAAAGTCGATATCAGTGTAGATAGGAAAGAGTTGACTTTCCATTTCTATCATCTCTCGTGAAGGGTAGTAAGCCACTATTGCTCACGCGTACATCGTTCCTCTTCTCGCTATTTTTTTTTTGTCTTATCAGGAGACCAACGCAATTTTCTTGGTATCTTTACTAACGACAGCAGAAATTATAAGACTGGATGAATGAGTATGTGCAGTATACACTAGTACCATCATCACCAGCCCCCATATATACATAGAAAATGAGGAAGAAAACATTTGAAGCCACATGGGTCGTTGTCCTCATATATTTGTGTAGAAAACGCGACAAACAGACTCGTTCTCTATCGTTATCTATCACTGCCAGCTAGTATTATTATTATTATTATTATTATTATTATTCATATTCAAATATTTTTATTTTTTATTTACTATTATTCAATATAAAAGTTTAAATGAAAAAAAAAAGAGAATTTTCTTTAATATAATTAAATATAAAAGTTCTCTTTTCTTTCTTATAATTTAATTAATTTGAAATATGAATTTTGCCGATTTTCTAGCGGCACCTGAAATTGTACGTCGTCTAACTTCTCAAGATGCATTTGAGAACGAGACTGTTACATTTACATGCACAGTACAAAATGTAAATAATACTAATGAAGATGAATCATATTCAATAGTATGGTTTTTCAATGATCAACAAATTAAATCAAATAGTGAAAAATATTCCATCGATGAAAATCCTAAAACAGGAATTTGTTTATTAACTATAAGACGCATCACACCAGAAGATGAAGGTGCATATCGATGTGTAGCAACAAATAAATTTGGTTCATCAGTTACTACTGGATTTCTTGCTGTTTTGAGTAAGTTTTTTCGATTCTTTTAATAGAATTATTCTTTAAATAAAATATTGTTTCAGGAAGAAAACGATCTCATTCACCATCACCTAGTCGTAATGCTAGTCCTAGTCGATCATTAAGTCCATCAAATAGTCGTGTACCAGATCGAAGTGTTTCACCATTACGATATATTAATTTACCTGTATCTAAATTGGCAAGAGTAACGGAAGAACTCGAAAGTCTTATAAATCCAACAGCATCAATTGTTCATGAAGAGGAAGAAGAAGAAGAAGAAGAAAAAGAAAAAGAAAAAGAAAAGGAAAAAAAATCAATTGAAAAACCAGAAGAAATAGAATCATCTATTCAACAAGTGCAACCAGCTATAACAAAAATAGCCGAGCCTGAAGAAAGCATTGTTCTTCCTCAAGTCTTAATACCAACGCCAATAACAACAACAACAGTGGAAGAAAATAAATTGGATGTACTTAAAACTGAAGTGAGTTATTGATTTTAGACAAAGTCTTTTCTAATTATTGATTATACCGTTTATCAAAGGAAACTATAACCAAAAACTAGATTCTAAAATATTTTTAACGGACATTTTCTAAGAAATCTTATAGATACAATCATTATTATGAACTAAAACTAATGATAAACAGTTCGCTAATGTTCATTTATTAATCGTGAATAATTGAATTATTCTTTTTATCAGTAACACTATGGTTAATATAGATAATTTATACCGTGTGTTAATAGGGAACAAAAAGATTCTAGATAATTTGTAAATATGTGTTAGGTAATACATAAATATAAGAAAGCACAACAGTATTCGACCTTGATTAGATAACTCAACGAATCGTCGGGGATTCCAATAATCATGTTTATAACTACTACCACATACGACGTTTTCTACTAAAGTCTGACTAAAGACTATGTTCGAAGAATGTTAAAAGGCTTCAAGAAAACAAAAATTTTTAGTTGTTAATTTATCATATGACATTCATGACTATAGCACGCTTACTCTATTACAAAAAAAAAAAAGAAATGATGCTTAACTTACTTATTCAGATTAGTTTCTCTTGTATATAAGAAATAGTTCCATGATGAATTACATAATCCATCGATTTGACAAAAAATTTCTCTGCAATCTTTATCACCATCAATTTAGCGACATGTATTTAACAACAACATTTTGAAATCTTGCATTTGCTATCCTAAGAATTTTTCTTCCCATGT